CCAAGGAAATTCCCGAAGTCCCTTCATATTTGAGATGAAAAGAGGACGCAGAGGCGTCGTCGTGTGTTGCGTAGACGCAGACGTCAGCTGTAAAACGCGGAGAAAGAGTGAGTTCGCCCATAACACGGCCATCCGGTCCAGGGCGAGGGAGGGTGGTGAAGGTGCGAGAGTTGAACCGCATCCAGCTATCCCGACCCAGGAGTACGGCGTGCCCCATGGCGGCATCTGGAACAACGCAGGCCCAAACCGCCAGAGAAGCCGTAGCACGATCCCCGTGAAGGAAGTTGACTGTTAACCGAACCGATTTGGTGGTCACGAGGGCGGGTCCATCACCAAACCCACCCCAACGACGAGAGGGCGAAACACGGACACTCCCCGAAGTCAAAGCTCCTGCATCAATCATAGCGGTAACGACAGAGTCAGACACGAAGGACGCGGGGGATCCAGAGTCCAGCAGCGCCACTCGCGGCAGTTGAGAAGTGGCTGTAGGCCCTCCATGCAACAGAACCCAGGTGGTGTACGAAGCCGAATCCAGCAGAAGCGTGCCGCCCACCAAATCCGGTCCGTGTTCCAGAAGAGGAGGGTGGTCTTGGCAAACAGAGGTAGCGGCCACCAAGTGAACGCCCGGAGCATGGTCCCCCGGAGCGTCCAAACGAAGGCCAGCAGGATCTTCACCCCGGCCCTCTGAAGGTGGTGCCGCACCAGGAGAACCCACCTCGTGGATGCGTTGTTGACCAGGGGACAACGGCTGCGAAAAGGAGGGCTCGGGGAAAGGAGACGCAGGGAGATCTTCGCCAGACGATGGCCGATCACGCAACAAGCGTCGAACTTCCATCAACACTTTTCCCAACAAGTTGCGACCACTATTCGGCCAATTAGAAGAATCACTAGCCTCTGGAGATGTTGCAGCCATGCCGATACCCCAAACAGGATCGAAGGGGCTAGCTTCTGCAAGGAAACGGGTACCCGTCGCCATCAAATGTTGTTTCATGGCTGGGTTTTGAGCAAATTTAGCATATGACCCTGTAAGCACGATCTCTTCACGACGACGCTCCCATTCAGCATAGTCGAAAGGACGCACTTTACGACCCAAGTACTTGTATGTCTTAGGATCAGTTGCCGTCATAATTTTGTCATACGATGCCATATCTCCAAACAGCTTCGCTTTTTCAGACATCATAAATTGCTCACCACATGAATAACGTACCCCCAGTACGTCAAAAGCCGAGGGAGTCCATTGCGAGAAAACGGATGGAGGTTTCCAGAAAAGGAGAACGTCGTTCGAAGCATACTCGCACTTGTCGTCAAACGGAGGGGCCGATGGAGGGCGCAAGGGCAAACAGCGAGCACCAGGCACGGGCGGGGAGGTTGGGCCAGGCGGACGAGTCTTCATCTCCGACAATGAAGATCCAGAAAGCGAGGCAGGAGCGGGCGAAGTCGCACCGCTCGGTGTTCCGGAGGGCGGCCTAGGGGCGGCAGCTCCGTCTGGGTCAATGTTAGCAGAGGCCATTCGGCTATTAGAGACCTGTTCGTTAGGAGAAGTCGTACCTGCAACAAACGGATTTGATTTAATTGGGGCAGGGCGCTCTTGACTACTCCCCCTTGACAAGGGAGCCGAACCTTCCACATTATGGTGGGCACTACCACCTGATCTTGATGGCAGTGGTGCAGTCAACACTTGGTGGGCAGCAGAGGAAGAATTTTTATCATCAGGTGCTGCCTCACGGGGTCGGCGGACGGTCGAAG